CCTCCCACCCGCTCGCTCGGCCCCACTTGCACCTGGCAGCGACCTCTCACCTGAGGACGACGCGCCCGCCCCGCGGCCGTCGCTTTAGCGGCCAACGGAGCCGTGCCGGGGTGAACGTCACCGGCTCACAACAAGCAAACAGCGAGCTCGAGGGCGGGGCCGCGTCTAGATGAATTGTTTACAAGTTAACACCTCTTCTTCGAATACTGAATACTATGCCAATTGATCTCTCGAGGACCTTCATTTCGTTATATTCGTACAGTAGATGCCAAATAACTGGTTTATCGAAGTTTCCAACCTTCCTCTAACGAATGGCGAAAGAACGGAAAACAAAAAACTGGGTAATTAAGGAATGCTCAATGACGCTACGCGAAGTCTAATAACACAGAAGTATCTTAGGAGTCGCCACTGATTTTCGCCGTTAATTTCCACCCCTGGTGTAATTTTTTCCCCTAACTGGTCCACGAATTGAGACGTTGCTTGTGCGGAAGTTGCACTTCCGGTCATGTCTTTTGGATTCCTTGATGCTGGGTATCTTGGGAGTCGCCCAGTATACCAAACAATGAAGCGGGCCATTCACCTTTATACCGAGTACCTGCCGTCTAAACATGGGATAAAACGTCCTCCAGCTGTAACGGTCGTCTAGCCCACCAGCGGTCCCTCTACGATCCCCCGTACCTGTACCTTTACCTGACCTACAGTACACCCCAAGCGATCAAGTACCACGTTGAACACCCTTCGCCTGATCTGGGCTGGGTTGAGATAGCGCAGCGGACGGGTGAACAACCTTGCAGATGAAGTACTACGAACTGCCAGCTGGCCAAGCGTACGTCGAGGATGTCGATTTGCACAAGAGAACATTGTTCCGCTGTATTTCATTAGGGTTATTACAGCTGACAGATCAACAATGCTACAAAACAAGTCATATGGAAAGTCAGCTGATTCTACAGACGTCACTGATATGAATGTTGTTGCGCAACAGTAAGCAATGTGTACGTAACCATTACGAGAAGGCAGACATAAAAACACTTGTCTCCGCATCTTCCCCAGACAAAAAGTGGCCAACATCAGTTTAATTTCAAAACAATACATATCGTTTCCCCATTCTCGCTCGTTTTCTATGATAAATACAATTTTACTATTGCCAACTGACAACCTTGTCGGACTTATCTCAAATGTTGACGGTCATTAGTGTTCAATGAGTTGATTCTAAAATTACCCCTTTAAATATTAATAGGACATGTAAGTGGCATATCGTAAAGCCGATTACAGCCGTATCTATTTCGGGAAATAACAATTGATGTGTCCCCCTCCTCGCCACTGTCCCTTCCCTTAAGTCATCCTCCTTCCGCCTTTCCATATCGCGCGCAGCGTAGAAGATACCACCGGTAAACATGCCCCGGCCACGGAAGTCAATCTCGGTGGTTTCTTTAAGAGCAGGTCTCGGATTCCGAGATTCTTTGAAAATGACATAAAATGGCGTGACCTATAAAATGATTTAAAAATAAGGGGGAAATAATATACTTTCTTTAAATACTAAAGTAAATCATGAAAATGTATATTCAATGAATTTTACAATTTTAAATGAAGTTTATTTATATTAAGTATAATTTTGTAGTCCACTTAAGAAGGAAATATATTCCTTAGCTCCGATCCGAAAACGCATAACCAAACAAGTAATGGCACTCTTCAGTTTTCAGTAGCTTCGCACTGTAGGATTTCATTTTTTTAAAAATAAGCTTTGGCAACTCTGTAGTGATATCACAATTTGAAGCCTCTGATTGGAGAAAAGAACCCCCTCTTCCACGTCAGCCGCTAGTAGTCAAGTAGGCAGAAATATTATTCGGATAATATGCGCTACTACACTATTTTTCAGGGATCTTCATGGCAAAGATAACATTAGCGTGAATCTAGTGATTATATCTTTAAAAAAATGTGCTAGTGAAATACACCCAAATATATATTATACGGGCAAGTGTTCATGAGCCCCGGAATACCTACCCCTACTCCTTTGCCAACATTAGTTGAATTAAGAATAAACTATAGCAACAAGCGATTAACACAAAATCTGAAAACCAGAAATGTTCACTCCACTAAAATTGAAACTATTTTGCATTGACAACAAACTAAAAATTTGATATAAAATTCCATTTGCCAAAATAATAAAACTCCCCACCCCTCTCGCAACTAACGAAACGAGGACTCAAGAAAACGCGCTAGTAAATACAGTTTACCATTTTTGAGACTTATTTAGCTCACACTCATCCAATACTCAAAATTTTCTCTACAAGAAAAGACAGTGTAACCGAAAAGGTAACTAACGACAGAATTTAACTCGGAAACTGAGAAAATAAAACGGTATGAAGGGACGGGCATCTGGAGGATGAGGCCGGAAATGCGCTACCCGCTCCGACTGCTGCGAGCCGAGAGGGCTGGGTTCGCGCCCGGGTGGGGGACGGGGGTGCACCGTGGGCGCGGGGCGGGCGCCGGGCAGCCCGACTGTGTTCTCCGCCCGGTCGCGCCGTCCGCCGCCCGGTCATGCCATGCCAAGAGCGCTCGTGCACGGGCCTAGGGCCAACTTCCGAGCACGAGCTTCACATCTCATATGACGTTCAGGTGCTTCTTTGCCTTTAGCGCCACTTGCCCACGTTTGGAATTTCCAAACCTCTGTATGCGTAAAAACGCGTTTTTACACCGACAGAAATATACAAATTCCAAAACGTTTGTAGTTTTTTTTGGTTTTTTTTTGCGACGTGGCGAGGTGGGAAAAGGATATAACCTTGGTGCGAAAACTACAATTTGTCTTGAGTTATATTCTGAAATAAAGATTATTTATGAAAGCAAATAACAAAGTCAATTTCTACAAACTCGCACGCCAGGGTGCACCCATGGGACGATATTGGAGAACAAATTTGGAAAAAGCTTAGGATGCGGGAAACAATTTAACTGGATAGCAATGTACTCCCACAAAGTAACTCTATAGCAACAAATTATATTCAAACGACCAAAACAAATTTGAGAGAAAAAAACGAATTTAAAAGTCATTTTGCTAGTGAAAATGTAAATGGAAAAACGGTTCCAAAAATGTACAACGCTAAACAAAACGGCCTACAACGGTTAACAAGTAAATGTCTTGCACGACATTAGATACATTTTGAGACTTTAGGGACATTATCTACAGTAACAGAAACTTCACCTGGAAAGGGCAAGACAGACCATCCACCTTCCCTAAAAAAATGGGAGCAAATCCGGAACAGCCCGTTTATCGGATACGATTGTCATTAGCAAAAGGAGAGGACGACATATGTAGCAAAACGCGGCCTCTAAAGTAAAAGTGCGCAAACATTAAAAAACAGAACATGAGCCATGTAAATCGACCAAAATTAATGTGAAAACCAATCGGCGTAGCTGCGTAGAAATTTAGGCATGCCAGAAGAAACGAAGAGAAAAAAAGGCGCCGATATTGCTAGTTGATTATCTTCCCAGAATGAAAAAAATGATAAAAATTGGAATACGTATAATCAATACGAAACTTAACTCCCCCACCCGGTACTAATTACTCGTTATACCCTTCTAACCCTTTACCCTTTAAATTAGAAACTACCAATCGCAGCAGGACCGGCAGACCAAATTAGTCTCCAGTCCTCACTTTTCAAGTTCCAGAAGTTCTCATTGCATAATATTAAAAAATTCGTGTTAAGATGCCCGTATGATTCGGGAGCGAGATTCGTCATGCAACAACTGTTAGTGTACGAAACTGGAATCTTGCAAACAAGAGATTCCAACACCTTCGAGGAAAGTAATAAAAATTACATTATCTTCTCGCGCACAAAGAGCCCTATCATAGAAACGTGGGTTAGTTTCATACCATATCAAAGGCGTCTAAAATATTTGCATATGAAATTAAATGTTTCTGTTCGAACAAAAATACTGTACGTACTTCTTTCGTGGGGAAGACGAGTTCCACGGGTTTTCTGTACACGATAGAAATAAATATAACTCTTGTTCACATTACTTTAATTGGCAAAAAAGCAAAACTAATGTTCACAAAATTTAACTCCAATGTCAAGATTTTCAATCATTCCAATACATGTAAATTGCAATATTAATATTTATCAACATGAGATCAATGAGAACGTTAAACAAATGTAAACTAATATAAACCTACGAATAAACTGCCAGAAGTAAAAAATCGCGAATTTTGAGCAGTCGTGAAGTAGCCTTGGAAACCAGAAAACGACGCGAGAGAACCCAGACAGAACGCGGCGATCCGCACCCCGTACAATTCCTCACACCTCGCCAGCTTAGCGCAGAAAACAATTACTCTTCGCGTTTACCCAAAACCCAGAAGTCGGCCATGGTGTTTTACGCGAGGGACAGGACGAGACGCGGAAGCGGTGGCTGGGTCGCGTACACGTTTCTCTGAGAGCGGGAATGGTGCTGAATGAATGACGCGGACGAAAGCAGCAGCGGCGGCGGCAGCAGCAGCCGCCGCCGGCTGGCGTTGGGCGGGGGCGCGGCGGCAGAAGCAGGGGGGAAGAGAACCAGGAGAAGAGAAAGAAGAGAGAGAGGAGAAAGAGGAGCAGGAGGGGTGAGCGGTGCGGCAGACGCGAACTCCCGCTTGCCCCCGCCCAGCGCCGTCTCTCCTCTCTTCCCCCCCGAACGACCGAGACGAACTTTACAGGGCGCGTCGATGCCGCCCGCAGGCGACGCCCGCCCTGCCCGCGCAATTCCCCTATCCAGAAATTTACAACAGATGCACGCGAACCACAAGTACAAAACGTAATGTGTCACCGAGATTCCTCGTCTCAACCAATTCTAATCTGAATTTTTTCCACTAAATAAAACGTTGACAATACAGCGCTCACGAATCTCGTGAAACTTAAATTTCGTTGTCATATTAAGTTAATAAAAGAGGGAGGGATTTATTAAGTATTAATATTATTATTATTAATATGAAGGAAAAATTTGGTTGAGTTGTCAAATTGCAATCAATACAGTTACCATTTCTCTATTCTCCACAATTATACTACAACCATTCTTCCGACATTGTGACAAGTTATTTTCCATCATAAATATTTTTGTAATGTCTGCACGTTAATACTGTTCTAAACAAGTATTTATACATTACAGTGTCATTAACATATACCAACATGTAACAAGATCATGAACTGTTTATTCAACAGCGTCAATTGCAATGACGCGACCACTGAAATAATTTAATAATTAATTCAATGATAAACTGAAATTACAAAAATTGCTAAACGTTCACTGCAATATTATATATTACATTATCTTTTATTAATTTTCATCAAGGAATCGACGTACAATAAGACACTACAAAGTGCGAAACTGATAATGAACATTTATCGCTGATTATACACAATCAAGAAATTATGAATGCAGCTATCTCGATTTCTATACTCCGAACCCTAGCTGTGTAATCATGTACGTAATATTTGAAGAAAAATAATACACCGCCACATTAAAAAGGTAAATGTAACTGCAATACGTACGAAGTAATGAAATTGAACAACCTTCATACTATTAATACACAATTAAAAAGAATACAAAAGATTTTGACATCAGCTGCAGAAACTAACACGATGTAATAGCGAATTGACACTCCTAATACAACTGAAAAGTCCGAGTCTTGCAATTCATATCGCAACAAACCTTATTTATCTTTATCCTGGGATATAATTTCGAAAATATCACTATGTTGTTGTTTTTTATTTAGTCTCGTCATCCACCTTAAGCCACGTGGTTGATGCTATTTGACATAATCAACGATTCTGCTATCACGGTAAAAAGATTATGAAAAATAATAATCATAGAATTGTTTTTTTCACATCCGAAAATATCGAAATAAATTAAGTAATAATCAGACATACAACGCATGTAGAGTTGAGTACTAGTGCAGCTGACCTACAAGATGTATATCGACACTAAATATAAGCCGAAATAAATATAAAAACGTCAGTAAAAATATCTCTGATTACACAAATGTCAACAGAAATCGCGAAAAAGTGCATTAAACAACATCCCTCCCTCGCTGCATTCACATTTTTAAACCCACGCCTCGCCCGCCACACTACAGAACGGACACCAAGAAACCCGCCTTCGCCCATTCGGCGTCTGATGGGCATGGCTTACCTGCACACACCACTGCTGATTTCCGTGATGTCTTCGTTTCGCAATTCCTCAAAACAAACTTGCTCTTCGGAGGTGTTATACACTGACATATCTTTATAGTCACAACACTATAATTTATTGCGAACTGTCTTTCAGAGAAACAAAGAAAAAAATTGACACTAACACCCGTCACACAGAAACGTAGCGCAGCGCACAACGCCGTTTCGTAATGGCGATCTTTGGCGGGAAACAGCTGAAGTCTCTCGCGACGCACACTAAATATCGCTCCGACATAAACATTTCAACTTCGAGCACGTTCTTCACAGAATTATGACAGAATATACACAAAAGTTCTGGAAACAACTTTTCAAAAGTTGTTTTATACATTATTATAGTTATTTTACTTTTTCGCTAAACATTGTTTGGTAAACATGAGGGACTACTTTCAATGGCGGTTGACGTCAGGATACAGCATGTCACCAGCTGTGAGGTCGGATGGGATGGGTGGGCTGCAGTCGTCGGCACCACGATCGCAGGCGAACTGGTGGGTCTTTTGGAATGAGAAATTGGGCCTGTGATGAAACAAGGTTTTTTTCAGTTCCTTGTTATGATAGCGCCGATTTTAGTTTGTGCTTATGCATGCATCTTTAGATCATTACAAAGACCATATGCACGCCGCAATGGAAATTATGTAGAAGATACGTATTTCGCTTCAAAACTTAAAGAGTTTTGGCTATACTCTCCCATTTAAAAATTAATGATATTGTCCTAGTTGAGAATGGCACGTGAATTATCAGTAACATCAGCATATAAGCTACTCTAAAACGTAATATAGTGCAGGACAACGATTTTTCTTTTTACCAGTGCAGGAGGCCAAGTGGAAGCGCCTGCCATCTAGCGCGCGGCTCATGAACTATTCATATGAATCGCGGCGCGGTGTATATAAATTCATTACTTTAATGTGTACCGAATATATAAATAAGTTGTACAATAACTATTCCCCCTAAAAACATTTGTCAATTCCATATGGTAGACATTAAAACGCTGTAATAAGTATTTTTTGTTGTTTCATTTTGGTATTGAAATATTTTAATTTGATCATTTGTTTTTTTGACCTGACCGTCGTGCCTAGATTTATAAAAAAAATTATCAGGAGGCTTCGTTATCAAATTATTCTCCAAACTCAAAACTTGTATTTTGGAAATTATTTCTCACTATATCTTTGTTTCTCCTTTGTGAGTTTAAACAAGAATACATTATTTTACACATCAAGTTTGTAAAACTGAATGTCTGAATTATTTTAATTGCTCTAATATTTCGAAGAACTGAAAAGTAAAAAACATACAAAGTTGTATATTTTATGATATAAAAATGATGCCTTACCCACTGAAGATTTTTGGGCATCCAAGCTGTGTAATTAATAGATAAATTAAGTAGTAGATAAAATGTGTTCCAATTATAAAGTAAATAAATTTCTATAATATAGTGCATGATATTTTGGAACGTATCAATTGGTGAAAATAATTTCATTTTGAGGAATTGAGGCATCTTACAAATTCCTAGAAGAGGAAAGTGTAAAAGTAATGAAATGTAATTGACATAAAAATTCTACACTGCACCCACTCCATAATTTTTTGTTTGTGTGTGTGTTTACAATTCATTTTCAGTATACATGTCACAGCTAGTTCAAAATTAATTGTTGGTGAATATCATCTTTACGTATTCATTACATTAAATGAAAAATTGAAGAAAAAATAAATTATTGTGTAAATTCTTCATTTTTAATGAGAGAGGGGAGACTCGAGATTTTCAGGTGAAAACATGGAAAATACTAAATGGATGTAAATTCCCCGACTGGAATTCAATCATTTGGTTCATGAGCAATTTCAATGACTTTATTCTGGGGGCATACTACCCCTTTACTCATAAGACTTGAACACCCTGTAAAGTTCAAGGACAAAAGAAGCAGTGGACACATCATGCAAAAAATTGTCATTGGTATTGAATAGAATTGAAATTACTAAATCAATACAAGAAAATATTAATTATATGTATTACCTAACTTTTTACTGAACATATTTTCTTTGTTTTCCTGACCAGGGGCACCCAGAGAACACAAGAGGCCTGGGGCAGTAGGTCGGGGGCTCACATTTCAAACAAAAGGTCTCGCCCCTCTCCATCAGTTAGAACATATAACAGAATTCATCTCTCTTTGCCTCTACGCAACAGAAATAACTTACAGCAACGAATTTGAATTGGAAGTAAATAAATTTTTTGTTTTGAATGAAAAATTGTATGAAGATCCATATTAATTAAGGGTCTGGGACAAGTCACCCCAATTGCATGCTGTCTCTGGCATCCTCAGCCTTACAATATAAAATATCAGTGGTGAATTCAGAAAGTGTTGGAAGGAAATTCCAGGGAAGTTTCACTTTAGACCAAATAAATATTTCTAAAATATAATTTTTGTTCAATTGTTAGCATGAAATTTTAAAAAAAAATGTTTGAGAACCTTTATCAAGGAAATACACCTTTGGATGTGATGGGATCTACATGTGGTAGTTATTTTGAATAAACAGAGTAAAATTACAAAAAATGTAGGGGGCAGGCATGGTGCCCCATGCCCTCCAACCCGCCTTGGATCTGTCAGTGACATATAATACCCTAAATTTATAGAGAACTATTGTATTACAAAAATATAGAAACACTGTATGGAAGCTTTGGTAGTGAAAGTCTTTTTAATGCACTTATTATAATATTTAATACAGTTGTGAATTTATTGAAGTACATAAAATAAAGAAATAGTGTATATAGGTGGTTTTGTCACTGAAAGTATTCTCTGACTGTTACTCTAAGTTTGTGGGACATTAAAAAAAAGTATAATGTATGTAATGTAATATTACGTTTTAATAAATATTCATATATTCAATAGAACATTAACGTGAAGTGATTCTAAGAATAACTTTGGAAAACAGTAGAAAAATATGTAAATGTGTGAACTTGGTGGACTTAAGTTTTAGAGTTCACCTGCACAATTTTCATAAAAAGTTATTGATCTGCCCTTCCAAAAGCCCACTGAAAGGATTATAGGATATCAAATATTTGTAAAATATTGAATTCATATTTAAAAATCACAATATTTAGTTTTGAATAACTATGTTATCTTGCAATTTTATTTGAATTGTTATATTTCTCAAAATATGAGATCAGACATAAAAAGTATAGGCCTTTTTACAAAATCTAAACTTTAAGAGAAACTTACTCATAAATGCCCATGATGATTATTCATTTAATCTAGAATTGAATAACATAACTTACTATCTTTCATTCTTCAGATAGAAATCAAAAACATTCATTTTTTTAAATGAATCTTAGATTGTAACAATATTACAATAATTATGGTGAGAGAATATAGCACCCTTCTCAGTACAGAAGATTACATAAGTGTGAAGAATGAAAACTATAGTTCCGTTTCCACTGATGCCATTTCAAGATTTACACAAGGGAGACCACAATAGCATTTCATAGAGTCGGCATCACGAGTAAAACTAAATTAGTAGGTATCATACCGGGTGGTCATGTCTTACAGTGAAGATTACAAAGAAATAGTTGTTTTCTTCCACATAAGTGCTAAGGGTAATTTTAGAGTTAGAATTAAAATGTGAAACATTTAAATTATACATTTTTTACAATAATTCCTTTTAAATGGTCATTTTTCATTGTTTAAATGTCATTTTTCACCCCTACTTTAGCTAAAATAAATGCCTTTTTGCACTCCTATTTTAGTCAAAATAAATACCATTTTGCCTACCTATTTAATGAAAAATAAATGTCTGAACTTCCAGGCATTACTCATATAATTCCTCCTAACAGTTGGAGAAACTGGTCTGGTTCACTGCAGTTGGTATTTTTAAATATTTTTATGCAACTCTCGTTTTGTTTCAACAGGATCATATCAATGGAAACTACATTTATTAGGCTATCTTATCGTATTACCATTGTTTTTGAACTTGAATGTTTGACAGTTTAACTTTTAGAGTAGTTAAAGTCACCTAGTCAAAATGTGCCAACCAACATTGCAAGTGGGATTGGTTGACACAGGCCCAAGTATAGATTGGCACTGGCATGGGGTACTTTAGCACACTACTTCCGTTGGAGTATGGAGTAATAAATCAATGTCAAAATGGATTTAATGTTTTATTTACACAAATAATTGCAAACACGTTTATAATCGTTTGGTCTTGAAGAATATTCCATTCCATATGGCAACTTCGTGGTAATTTCAAAAATGAATATTTATCAGCCTGAATCTCTTTTAATAAAAAGTGCTTTGTGTTTTGGATCATTAACGTCATTCAGGTGTTTCAAGTATTACGCTTAAGAGAATTTAAACTTGCGATAGATAAGGCAAAAATTGTAGGTTTAAGCTACAAAGAAATTTAAAAAAATAAATGAATGATGAACTCTTTAGAAAACTAAACATTGCCGGTTGATAAAAAGTTAGCTCTTTCATGTCTGTTAAGAACAAGTCCTTATAGTAATAGAAATGACAGGTGGGGAACCCTTCACCTTGCGATAGGTTACTTGATTGATGAATATCCAAACGTTTGCATACTTGATCAATCAATCACCAAACGTTTGCAATTTATAAGTGACCACTAAGTCCTAGAATTTTGAAAAAATTACGAAAATATTCTTAACTGTGGACAGTAGTGGTGCTTTTACTCTAGGTGTGAATAAAAATATCAAAAAAATAGATTTATTTTGTGGCGATGGTTGGATGACCGGACGAGGCTGGTTGAACGTGACTATTGTTGCACCGATCAGGCTCAGATTTCTAAGACAAGTTCGTTATGTCTTGAAGGATGTGTAACCCAAAGATGGGGCTTGTGGAAGCTTCGTGGTCGATATAAGAATGTGAGTGCCTTCCAGATCCGGTCTCCCATACTCAATGGAGTAAACTGCAATCCTAATGTTCGACTCACGTTTGCGAGTCCCTAAGTCGAGGTCGTTTGTACTCCGTCTCTCTACTGTGTTAGATTTGTATCCACCCACATAGACATCGTCAGCGAGATTTTGCCGCGCTACTTTCGATACTTTATTACTACTAAACTTCTATGAATCCAATTTTCATTTTGATGGAACAATAAAGGAAAATTTGAGGAAGCTTATAATATTGCTTTTAGAATTTTTAAGTGGCCTAATTGATTGTAGTAGCTGATTTTTTTTTA